ACTTTCTGCTTCATAGGCAAAAAAATGTCTTTCTGTGCTTGTAATGGAGAAAGGACCACATACTAGGATCCCAATCCCTCTACACATCTGGAACTTGACATCTACAGAGATGATGCATGCTCCATTACACTCCACCTCTGAATCATAGAATAATAGACTGGTATGACTGGAAGGGACCTTGAGAGGTCATCTAGTCCAGTCCCCTCATCTCACGGCAGAGCTAATTATCTAGACCATCCCTGATAGGTGTTTGTCTAACCTGCTCCTAAAAATCTTCAATGATGGAGATTCCACAACCTCTCTAGGTAATTTATTCCAGTGCTTAACCACCCTGACAGTTAGAAAAAACTTCCTAAGGTCGAACCTAGACCACCCATGCTGCAATTTAAGCCCATTGCTTCTTGTCCTATCTTCAGAGGTTAACAACAACAACAATTTTTCTCAATCCTCCTTGTAACAACCTTTTATGTACTTGAAAACTTATGTCCCCTCTCAAACTTCTCTTCTCCAGACTAAACAAACCCAATGTTTTTAATCTTCCCTCATACTAGACGTTTAATCATTTTTGTTGATCTTCTTTTGACTTTCTCCAGTATGTCCACATCTTTCCTGAAATGTGGTGCCCAGAACTAGACACAATACTCTAGTTGAGGCCTAATCAGCACGGAGTAGAACGGAAGAATTATCGTATATACTCGTTCATAAGCCAGATTTTTTTTAGTAAGAAAGGGAAGCACCAGCGAAGGGGGTTGGCTTATGAATGGATATAGAGAGGGAGAGGTGGGACACAGCCCCTCCTCCCAACAGAGGGAGCAAGGAGAGGCAGCACAGCCAGCAGAGCCAGAAGGGAAGAGGCGGGGCCAGTCTCTCCTCTTCTGGCCATGCTGCTCTCCCCCCAGCCTCCGAAGCAGCGGCAGCTCCGGGGCTGGCAGGCTGCAGCCGTGCCGCACAGCCCCAACCCCCAGAGCAGGTCGTGGCCATGCCGCCCGGCCCGCCGGAGCAGCTCCAGCCAGACCAGAGACATCCTCCCTTGGCCCTCCCCCCAGATAAGGTGGGAAGGGGAGAGAGTGGAGGGATCCCGGGCTAGGGGTGGGGTCACGTGGGGAATGGTCACAGGGGTTACTCCCCTGACACTCAGCTTCTCTCCCCCCAAAACATTTCCCCACCAGTTGCTGTCCCGGCCCGTCAGGGTAAGCAGCTGGTGTGCCAGGACACTTTGTTTACTTAGGTTTACATCCCTGCCTGCAGACGCTCGAGGTAAACAAACCATCTTGGCCCACCAGCGGCTTATCCTGATGGCCCGGGAACCAAAGTTTGCTGACCCCTGAATTATAGGGTCGGCTTATGAATGGGTCATAAAAATGTTCCATTTTTACTTATCCATCTTGGAGGGGGTGGGGGAAGATTGGCTTATAAACGAACTGGCTTATGATCTAGTATTTACAGTACTTCTCATGTCTTGCTTACAACACTCCTGCTAATACATCCCAGAATGATGTTTGCTTTTTTGCAACAGTGTTACACGTTGACTCATATTTAGCTTGTGATCCACTATGACCCCCAGATCTCTTTCTGCAGTACTGCTTCCTAGGCAATTGTTTCTCATTTTGTATGTGTGCAGCTGATTGTTCCTTCCTACATGGAGTTCTTTGCATTTGTCCTTGTTGAATTTCATCCTGTTTACTTCAGACCATTTCTCCAGTTTGTCCAGATCATTTTGAATTTTAATCCTATCCTCCAAAGTACTTGCAACCCCTCCCAGCTTGGTATCGTCCACAAACTTTATACGTGTACTCTCTATGCCATTATCTAAATCATTGATGAAGATATTGAACAGAACAAGACCCAGAACTGATCCCTACAGGATCCCACTTGATATGCCCTTGCAGCTTGACTGTGAACCACTGATCACTACTCTCTGGAAACAGTTTTCCAGCCAGTTGTACACCCACCTTATAGGAGCTCCATTTAGGTTGTATTTCCCTAGTTTGTTTATGAGAAGATCATGCAAGACAGTATCAAAAGCCTTACTAAAGTCAAAATACACCACATCTACCGCTTCCCCACATCCACAAGGTTTGTTACCTGTCAAATAAAGCTATCATGCTGGTTTGACACAGTTTGTTCTTGACATATCCATGCTGACTGTTCAACTTATTATCTTCTACGTGTTTTCAAATTGATTGCTTAATTATTTCTGCCATTATTGGACTCATGCAGCAGAACAATATCTCCTCTCTTACCCTGGTGTCTGTGCTTTCCCCTCTGCTTCTGCTCCTTGCCTGGCATCTTCTCACTGTTGCCTCCAGTGACTATCTAATACTATATACATTACTTAATTATCAATCCCCTCTCACAATCCCTCTCTTTCCGTCCTCAAGACACCAAACCCTCCAGGAATCAGACCACAAAGTTTTAAATGGTGGGAGTGATATTTTGGCTTCCATTGAAACTGTAAGTCTTCATTTTTTAAAATGAAACCTTCTATTTCTGAAAATAATTCCACGGGAAAGCCCAAATCTGATGACCTTCAGAGCACATTTCAATGCCCATCTCTTTTTCCTGGCTTTGGGAAGGCAAAGATTTAAGAATGAGTAGTGGAGGAACATAGCAGAAAGCCTTAAAAGCTGTTTTTGTGGTGGCCTATTGACGACTAAAGGTTATTGTAAGTTGTTTCAAAGCGTGATCAGAAGCACTAAGAACAAAAATAGGAATGTTCCTTCTATTGTTTATCAATCTAAATGAATAAAAAATTGACAGCAAATCCTTTCAAAGTTGTCAACATTTTGTGAATTCCTCTCCCTCATTATGATACATTGGGCATTCTTCCCCATTTAGGTCTGCCGCTACATCTCAGTCCTGACCAGAAACACTTGCCCTATTCCAGTGCTAAGATTTTCTGAACAAAGACTGCCAGTCACACCAAATTCTGTGGCAGTTTTGTGATAAGTGACTATAGTGGAATCTCGCCAAACAATTTCACTTGTGATTAAAACCAGGCTTGAGTCTTTCTTCAAGGGAAATACAGTTGGACTAACCTACTTTGCCACAACATTCCTTAGTCTTTCCATTTCTTGGAGTTTTTATTACACATATCTGCTCATTTTCCTAGTCTGTTAAAGCAACAGCACAGTGTACTACACAAATAAAAAGTCTAAAGATCAACCCATGACACAAATATGACAAGCCATTCTGGGATTTCCGAACTTTGATGGGTGTTCTAAGAGGAGTGCATTTGTGTGTGGCTAGTAATTTCCCTTCCATAGAAAGCCTGCAAAGCTGATTGAAGTGTGCCACAGAATTCATTTATGTTTGATGTTAAATTTGGCATTTAAGTGTTATGGAATCCCAAAAGTTCTAATAGCTGTATTATTTTTATGCATATACAGAAATGATCCTATAGAGTTAGATTTTTCTAACACATCTTTCAGCAGCAGATGCAAAGCAACAAAATTAACCCGGATAAACAAAACAAGACTGCTTTAATGTAATTCCTCGTTAAGTTCAAGATGATATGAGTTAAACCCCTCAAGCCGTCATACTGAGATAGCACAGATTTAAAGCAACATCAACAAAATGTCAGCCAACTGCTGTCCTAGAGAGATCAGACATAAGCAATACACAAAGCTATACTAAAAATAAAGTTCTTGCTCAGCATACATTCCTGACAGACACCATAAAAAAGGTGTTTTGTGACAAATAATGTTAATGGTGATGTTGCCATTGAATAAGTGTATTCATTCATATCCCATATTTGCATGACAAGGCCCAATGCTTTTCACATAGCTTCCCCCACACCCTCACTCTTTTCTTACAGTTTGCAGCTGTAGAAAAAAGTGAGCTGTTCTTCTAATCAATGACACCATGTCATGCATGGAGCTTCTGCATAAATCCAGAGCATAAAATGTCAAGCATGTCCCACTCCAATGATTATCAGTCACTGAACTAAAAAGATGCAGTTTTCATATCCACAGGACTGTCACCAAACCCTGGATTGCCTTGATGTAATAAATGAAACATGCCTACTATTTCACCACCACAGAAGGGTCCTATAGATATCTTACATCATCTTTGTTTGCAGGAGGAGGTATCTAGGTCTAGATGAAGTGCAGATACGTTACTAAACAATGCACAGCTTGAATCCTAGGGCCAACACAGATGACCTTTAGATGTAAGCACGGTCTAAAATAAATATGCTTTCATCTTTGGGAGTATTTTGTTCAAATAAAGATTTAAGAGAGAAACAGCTTAGAAATACATTAAACACAAGCATACCTTTATACACTTATGTTTCATTTTAACAACAAAACCACAAGCAATATGGTATGCCAGAAGAAAAGCTAAGTTCCCTTTAAATAGAACTGAAACTATATATGAGATATCACTAGTTTGGGGTTTGTTTGGTTTATTTATTTATTTATTTTTTAAACAATGGCATAATTAACAGTTATTTTGTGTGTGGGTTTTTTTAAGTAGTGGAGCTCCAAAACTGCAGATATGGTTAAACAGGTGTTACAAATAAGATTTGCATTTTTTGTTATAATTCTACGAATATAATGCAACAAAACTGTATTGAGACACACGAAAAAGTTAAATTGTTTAAAAACTGTCCCAGATGAGTTAAATAAGCAAACCATATAATTTGCTGATATAAGTTAACACAAGTAAGGAATTTTTTAAATGTGAATTTTATCTTGATTTATGACCCTTCATTAAAATAGCTTTGATGCTACAAAGCTTCATTAACAAAAAACACTACAGTATTATTTACTTGATGTAAGTGACTAAAGGATTGGTATGCTAGAGACTCCCTTTTTGCCCACCTTCCTCCTCCCAAAAAACAATATTATTTGTAGATTCTGAGCACTCCTGCAGGTTTCTGAGCATTCAATACTTCCACTGAAGTCAGTGGGAGTTGAGGACATGTAATACCTCCCAAACATCTTGGAGGACTGAACTGCCTTAGCATTTGCTGGCACACAAGGTTTTTTACTTCTTACCTCAAATTCAGCATGTCTGTGAATATCCTCTGCTCTCTGTCTACTCAGGATAAATTCTGCTTCATTTGCCACTCTCACTAAATGATCCTTCATCGTTTGGCTCAGCAATCTGTGGTCATAAAATATTTAAAAAGATTAACCAGCGATTATGAACTACAAAAACTAATATCTGAAGAGGCTATTTATATACAAAATGTTTGAGCTTTGTTCCAAAATACCAATCTTATTTTAACAAAACATTTAACAAAATTATTTTGTAAACAACTCATCTGCAGTTTTCTAGCTGCCTACTGAAAACATGTTTCAGAAAGTTAACGACATGCAGTACTGGAAAACACTCCATTCACAATACAAGGTGCCAGTTTGTTTGGTTTAAAATATATATATATATATATATATATATATATATATATATATATATATATATATATAT